GTCGCTGCACAACCATGTGCTAGCTGCACGCCGCCCCACCGCGCTGCCCTCGGCCGTCGCTCCCTCTGCATCTACCCTGCACTTGACAATCACACCCACACCCAAATTTCTCTCACCTGTATTGGAAGCCCTTGAGCAGCCGGTCGTACGGCGCCAGCCGCGCCCGCCGCCGCGCCGCCACCGCGTAGTCCCCCGCCGCCGCCTTGGTGCCGCGGCCCCTGAGGAAGTACCGGAAGTTGCCCGCGTTTAGCTCCAGCCGCGCGCGCCGCCGCGCGGCCGCCGACGCCGCGCCGAGCGCGCCGGCGGCGCCGGCGGCGCCGGCTGAGGATGAGAGGCCCTTTGGGCGCGCGTGCTTGCGGACTGTGAGGGTGCCGTCCGACAGTCCGACGGCGAGCAGTCCCGCGTCGCCGCTGAGGCCGAGGCTCAACACAGGGGCCGGGTACTTGGTCGCGTGGGTGACCTGATCAGGGCAAGTCCGTTGAGGGCGACATCAACAGCCGAGCCGCTAGGCAGTTTCCACGTCAGGGTGCGTTTGAGGGCGCCAGGCGGCTCTCCGGCCCACGAGCTCCCCAGAGGCGCGCCAGCCGCGCGCCGCGCACCCACGCGAGCCGCGCAAAGGCACGCGCGGTGGGCGGTCGCGGAGCGATGCCCGTGGAACCAGGGGGCTCACCTTGAAGCCGTCGAGCTCAAAGATCTTCACGTGACCATCCAGCGAGCCCGCCAGCAGCCGCGGCGCCGCCGCCACGTCGGGCCCCGCGAGCGGCGAGAGGGCGACGCAGGTGACGGTCTTCTGGAAGTTGGCCAGCCGCTTGAGCAGCTTCCCGCCGCTGGTGGTTCGGTTTGGGTGGCACGGAGGATGTAGGGGGACGTTGACGAATCAAGGGACACGCACCTCGTGGGCATACAAAAGGTCAAAAAAGAGCGCAGGGGGGGATGCGAAGCCTGTACCAGGCCAAGTCGCTCCCAAAAATCCATCCCGCACGCTGCACAGCCCCGCGGCCGCACCGCCCCGCGGCTCCCCCGCCCCCTCGCGCCCTCGCGCGCCCACCCGTCCGCCGCGCCCGCGCCCGGCCGCAGCAACCCCGACCGCGTCCACCCCCACACCTGAGCACGTCCCAGACGCAGATCGTGTTGCCGCCCGCCGTCACCGCCATCGCGCCGGACGGGAAGAACGCAACGCCCTCCACCGGCGCCCCGTGATCCAGCACCATCGCCGGCCCGCCGCCGCCGCCGCGCCCGCCGCCGCCGCTGCTGCTGCCGCCGCGCCCGCCGGCGCGGACGTCCCAGAGCATGGCCGTGTGGTCGTAGCTGCCCGTGAGCCAGACGTCTGAGTTGGCTGGGGAGGGGGCTGCTGACCGGACATAGTCCTGGTGGCCGTCCAAGCGGCAGACCTGCGGACATACATGTTTCAGATTCATATATGTATGCCATGGGGGCACTGATCAGGAAATCCAAGGCAATGAAAAAGGGAGCTGGTACACAAGCAGCGAGACCGCAATCAAGGGTGCCGTGCCGTCCGAGGGACTGCGGGGGGGCCGACTGCGCTATCGACCGGCGTGGGCGCGCTTGGCGGTTCCGCCGCAGAAACGCCCTCCGCCCACCCGCGCCCGCACTCCTCGCGGGGGGCGGCGCCGGCTCAATCATTCTGAGCGGGCAGCAGCCCGTTAACGCCTCCGGGCGCCAATCGGGTGCGCACACACGTGCCCCCCGCTTGCCCTCTCACCCCCTCCCAATCGCACCTGCTTTCCGGCCGTGAGGTCCCACCACCGCACTGTCACGTCATCCCCGCAGCTCAGCACGTGCGTCCGGTCGGACGCGAACCGCGCGGCGTGGACGGGGCGCGCGTGGCCCTTCAGCTGCCGCAGCACGTTGCGGCTGTTCGCGTCAAACACCTGCCGCAGGAGCCGCCGCGCGGCGCGCGTGGTGGCGGCGCGGGGGGTCCGGGTCGTGCGGCGCTCGCGGGTCCCGCTGCTTGCGTCGTGTGAGCGCCGCGCACGGCCGGGGCTACTAGTCTGCTGGCCCCGCGGCTCATTGTATTGGCATCGCAGCGGAGCGGCAGCATGCTGCTGCGCCGCGGAGCGCCGCCTCGATGACATCAGCTGGCAGCACCACCCGGACAAACAGAGGCTGCGCGCGCGCGCGTGTGCCGCTGCGCGTAGAAGACATGCGCGCGTGCGTGCGCGCGCACGCGCACACACACACACACACACACACACACACACACACACACACACACAAATGTACCTTCCCTCATGCGCGGCGACGCGCGCACGCACCTGCACGATGCCGTCCTGCCCCCCAGCTACCAGCAGCTTCCCGTCCTCCCTGAACGTCGCGCCGTACGCCTTGTCCTTGAAGCGCGCTATCGTGCGGCGCACCTGCCGCGTCTGGCCGTCGTACACGATGACCTGGCGGGGCGGCACACGCCCGGGTGCAGCAGGGGGTGGTTTGAAACATTGGAAACGAGCGGTGCCCGAGGTCTGCACGCGATGGGAAATGAGCAAGCATGCACATGCAGCCGGGCTCTGTGCTGATTCTTGCGCCACGAAGGCAGCGAGATGTTCATTGGCGAATGTATGTGTGGCATGGGAGTGATTGACTCAATGCCTGGCGCCGCGGGGGGGCTCCTGCTGAGGCTGTATTCAGGCATGGAGGGGGCCAGGCCACCTCCGCCACAGCCCCCTCACCCGTGTCGACGCTGTGATGGCATAATGATATGGCTGCTGCGGGCAGAAGTCTATATGTGAGACGCCACCGATCTGCAGGGTGCGGAGGGGAGCGGTTCAGGTTAGGTTGTTGCTGATGGGGGGCGGCCGCCGGCGCAAGAGCAGCAGCAACAGCAAGCGCGCAGCCTTGCCGGCAGGGTCCGCCGCCCTGACCGGGGCACAGCGGGACACGGCGCGGTGCGTTCATACCCCTTATACACACCTGCTTGGCTACAGAGGGCGCTGCAAAGCGCTTCCAATACTTGCCCTCGGCAGTCTCCCGGAGAGTGCGGGCCGGATACTGCTTAACCACTAACTTCCTGTAAGTTCCAGCCTCGTACTCCATCTAATCAAGCGCGTCGCTGTTGGTGATCTAGCGCAGAGACTGCTGCCCGGGCGGCCGCGTGCTGCGCGTCATCTAAGTATATGCATGTGCGTCGAGTCAAGTGACGGAAGTGCTTGAACCAAAGACTGCACCCGCACTGAGGCGAGGCATGGCACTCACAGACAGGCGGCCGCCCTTGGTCTCACCGGTCCAACCTTGAAAGCTCTTAGCACGTCTCCTGCTGTGCGACGCATCGGCAGCAGCCATTGACACCTACACACAACCTGAAATTTCAGGTTGATCTTGTATTACATGCTATGTTTGGGTGTTTCTATGGTGTAGAAGATGAGTAGATGAAGTGCTGGGTTCGCAGCGCTGCGCACGTGCTCGGCGCGCTGGAATGCCACGAGAAAGTCAGCCCAGGGCAGTGCGGGTGGAAGTTGAAGGCGTGCTGCTGACGGAGTGCAGGGCGTTGATGCGCGCGAGGCTGCAGGAGCTCAAGACACCTGATGGGTGCCGTCATCGCAGCTCTTAGTCGTAGGAGAGTGACGGCCCTTGCGGCCGGCGAAACAGAGGGGTGGCATAAGGGACTGGCTGCAAGCGCACAGGGCGCATGTATAAAGTGGCCTGGAACCTGAGTCGCAACCCTTTTGCCAGGGAAAGTTTTGGTTCTCAATTCTTCTACGTGGCTTGGTGAAGTTGAAGGTGGCATGCGCGCCACAAGTCACGCTGTGCGAGCGCGCAGCCGCAGCCGCAAGTGATACAGCTCTCTCGCGATGGTGTTGCGGCAGCCGGCACCGCGTCTACGCTTGCCAGCGGGGCAAGCTTGCAGTGCCCTGTCGCTGCACAGGGCTCCCCGCCCATCGCACAAACCTGGTGCACCAAAACGGACCGCCTCGGCCCAACATATGCAGCAAGGTTCTCCAACCCGTTAAGCTGGCCCCTAAGCCTGGACGATGACCACATCAGCCTGCCCCTTGGTATCGTCCTCCCGGCCGCTCCCCGCCGCCGGCTTCACCACCGCGCACTCAACATCCCCCGCCGCGGCGGCCGCCGCCCGCTCCCGCGCCTCCATCGTCCAGCGCTCCGCCCATTTGGGGTCAAACGCGGCGGTCAGCAGCGCGGCGAACACCAGGAACGCGCCCAGCACGATCATGGCGTCGTTGTACCCGCCGGTCTTGGCGCGGATGGCGCCGATGACCATGGGCCCCACGAAGCCGCCGACGCCGCCGGCGGAGTTGATGAGCGCCATGCCAATGCCCTTCTCGCCGCCTTGCAGCGCCATGAAGTGGGCGACCTGGGGGAGGAGGGGACACGCGGGGGCGGCGGGCGGGGATGCGCGTCAGCATGTGGAGGGGCGTGGCACGGGTGGTGCGGCCGCGCCGCAGCTTGCCAAATGCATTTCGGGGGCCCCGAGCGGCGCGCAACAGCGACGTTCTCCTCGGTGGGGCTGGAGAGATCCCTCTCGTCCGACTGGAGTGCTTGCAAAGAGTCAAACACGGCGCAGCGCAGTGCAGCGGTGTCAGGCGTGGCGCACCATAATGCCCTCCGCGCCAAAGGTGCCGATCGCCGCCAGCACGATGACCGCGAACGCGGCCCGGAACGAGTGCAGCGCGAGCGGCAGCAGGAACAGCGCGACCGCGCCGAACGCCCAGGTGCCCGCGAGGTGGTAGCGGCGCTCGTTGGTGCGCTGGGAGTGCCTGGAGGGCGGAGGGGCGGGGCCGGGTGGCGCGGTTGATGCAAGGGAGCATGCGGCGCTCAGGTTGCGCGGCAATACCATGGCGTACAGCATCAGTGGAATGCGGCAGCAGCGTCCCAGGAGAGTCCTGGGAGGTCGGCTGCGTGTGGAGGGCGCGCGGCGGGCCGCGGGGCCGCAGGCGGGGATCGGATCGCGGGCACCCACCACGCGTTGACGAATTGGAAGGCGGCGGCGGCGGCGAAGGGGATAGCGACAAGCAGCACGACGGTGACGCTGCCGCCCGAGGAGTGGCCGCCGGCGGCGCCGGGCGCCGCGAACGCGTCGAATCCGAGGATGCTCTTGACGATCATGGGGGCCCTGGCGGTTGGGATTGGCGGAGGAGGTGTGGGTCGGCATGGGACGTCCGAGACTGCATCGCACGGGGCCTTGACCATGTCGCCGGCTGGGGGTGTCGCTCACAATCCGACCTTACATCCCAACCTCACCCCCGCCGCACGCCCTGCACGTCCCGTCTCCCGGCCCCTCGCGCGTCCCCTGGAGCGCCCGGCCAACACCTGCCCCGCCGCCGGCCCCGCGCGGCCCCTGTCCGCACCAGTACACGACGCCGTAGAACGCGACGTCCCTTGTGAACTTGATGGAGGAGATCACGTAGATCACCGGGTTCTTGAGGGTCGCCGCCAGCACCTTGAGCTGGTTGCCGCCCTTCTTGGCCTTGTGGGTGGCCGCCATGGAAGCTTCCACCGCGGCAACTTCCTCGGGGGTGAGGGACTTGATCGAGGCAAGGTCGGCGGGCATGAAGGCCCTGCAGCGAATGATTGGGGAGCAGAAAGGTAAGTGTGTGAGCCGCAGCGTAGCTCGAAGCTCAGGTGATTGCAACGGCAAATTAACGTCTGCTTTTCACTCGCCTAATCTGACACGCTGCCGCGCCAAGACGGAACAGCCGTGGAGTTTTTGTGGTGGGGGACAGGTGGCAGCTTAGCGCAGCACCACGCGGCTTTTGCCGTAGGAGGACTCACCAGCCGACGGCGACGAGGATGGCGAGGCAGCCCTCAATGAGGAAGAGCCACTGCCACCCCATGAGCCCGCCCATGCCGTCCATCGAGAGGAAGCCCGCGGCCAGCAGGGGCCCGATCGCCTGGGACAGGATGAGCGTGCCTGGGTGAGCGGAGGGAGGGGGGCGGGGGCAGGTAGGTGCCGTTGAGCAAGGTGCTTCAGCTGCATTGGGCGTTTGCGTTGGGACCTGCAGAGGGGTCGGCGCGACGCCGCACGCCCACACGTGCTCCTGGGCGCCAACAGGTGCAGCGGCCGCAGCTCCCTCTAGGAGGGACGACAAACAGCCGCCCCCCTGAACGCCAAAAGCGTCGGACAAGATGCTCACCCATCATAACGCCCAGGGGTACTGCCAGGCGCTCCTTGGCGTAAAAGTGGCTGAGGTACGTCCAGAGCGCCGGCAGCGCGCCCGCCTCGAAAAAGCCGAGCAGCACGCGCAGCGCAAGGAATTGGGGGATGTCCCGCATGCCGGCCATGGCGGCAGCGCAGGTGCCCCAGCAGACCAGCAGGCCCGTAAGCCACAGGTTTTGGCGGTGGATGTAGGCCATGACGATTTGGCTGCGGGGGTTCAGCGTTAGCAAAAAGCGTGGCATCTTGAGTACAGAGGTTGCGGGTGCCACACCCAGCGACGATGGCGCAGGGCACGGCCACCCGTGCCGCCCCCGCCGGCGCCGCCGACAGCCCGCCGCAGCGTCTTTTGCGGCCGCAGGCCCGCCGCCGCGCCTCCTTTCCGCGCGGATTCAACGGCATGCGTCGCGGGCGGCTCACTCGGGAGCCGGACGGAGGCACGATGTGGCCGCGGATCTTCCCCAGCTTATGGCGGCTCACCTGGGGATCTGCATGACGCAGTACGATACGAAGAAGAGCGCCGCCCCCAGGCCGTACGTCTGGGGCGTCAGGCCCAGCGAGGCGGTGAGCTCCACGCTGGCCAGCGCCAGGTTGGTGCGGTCAAGGTAGTTGACCGCGATGAACAGGGCCACCTGGTGAGATTTGAATTCGAATTCGAAGCGTTGGAGGGAGGTTGTGGGATTGTTTTGGAGGGAGGTTGCCGGAGAATCTGGTACGTGTCCCAGAGTTTCAGAGAGCTTGCACGTGGCGGTTTTGTGGGGCGGTTTTCTTAAAGAAGCTGCCTCGCGGGCCGGCCGGGGTGCCCATTACACAAACGGAGCCGGCGAGCTGCTTTACTCAGCAGCTGCCTGTCTTATCAGCGGGCGCAACGGCGCCGCCGCCGCGGCCGGCGCGGGCGCCAGAAGTCCTCGGGCGTGGGATAGCGGGTCACCCGTTGTCCAACTGAGTGCATTCAAGTGCCCCCCGCCCCGCGCACCATGATCAGCAGCCGCGGCGCCATCTTGTTCTCGGCACGCTGCAGCGCCGCCAGCTGGTCCGGGCTGAGGCCCAGATCCTTAGTCAGGTCGGCCTGTTTGTGATTCGATTTGGAGGGCACCGCAGTCAATGACGCGGCATATACAACGGACTCTGGTGCTCTGGGGACAGAACAGTGCCGTTCTCTTTCAGCCATGCGGGTTGACCGCGGCGCAGCCCCTTGAATGCATCCCAAAGGATGGCTGATGAGGATGTTGTTGATTGGGGGATCCAGCGCGTCCGGTGCCGCCACTGCTACGCGGCGCTCCTGGCGGCGTGCAGCCCTTCGTAGTGAGGTGACGCGGCTGGCCGGGGCGCGCAGTCCGCGCGGGACGCGGCCGAAACTCGGCCGCGGCCGAGACGGGGTGATATTGGCACCCCACCTTTTTGAAAACCACCATTTTTGATGTGGATGGACGTCCACTGGGAACGGCCGCTTCTGTTCTGAAGGAAGTCCGCGCGGCTTGAGACCGATACGATGGGCAACTGCAGGCGAGCTTCGCAAAGCTGTATGCTATCAGAATCTATAGCTTGAGGATTAATTTCGCTGCCCGCAGCTCGCTGTATGTATCAAAGACAAAAGTGTGAGCAGCGCCGGGACGAAGGGCAAAAAGAGGAGAGTTGCGTGGTGTGAATGAAGTAAAAGTGACAGTATGAACGTGGTGTACAAATTGATTGAACGCATACTAGTGCAAATGGTCCACACGTGCTGGATTTGCACATGCGAAGCGTCCCAATTGCGCTGCTGCTCGTGCTGCTGGTAACGAAGTTCCAGCCCCCGCCAGCCACATCAAGACCACGGCCCACAGCAAAGTGTTCCTTCCTTCCGTGGTGTACATCTACCTGAATACATCAAACCTGTATCTCATCATCAGAGCTGTTCAAACACCATTCGTGAGCGCGCAAGGCGGGCCACTGCTTCCTCCTGCTGAAGCAGAAGCAGGCGCAGGCCCCATGGCCGATTGCAACACAATAGTGACAGTATAAATGCAGCCCATATCTGGTTTCAAAGCCGTACACATCATCATATGCAGTCCCAGATTTGCCCTGCGAAGGCATGAGTCGGCGGGGCGATACCCCACGACAAACGGCGTCCAGGTGTGAAAGCCACCCCGAAGGTTCCCGAATTTGCCGCCGTTGCAGCAGTGAATCATGGGGTTTCAGCCGGAAGCATTACACAGATGGCCGACCGCAAAAGAAAGCAATTCAGGGGCAATCAGCGGATGGCGGGGTAGCCTGCCACACCAGCGCCGCCCCCGCCGCCAAGGTTGCCTTGCGGCCCCATCCACCCCGCCCCTTCCGCCGGAGCCCCCGCCGGCGCCGGCGCCGGCGCGGGCGGCGCGGAGGGCGCGGCGGCGTCTCCCGCGTCCGCCCTCCGCGCCAGCTCGTCCATCTGCCCCTGCGTCACATTAGTCGCGGCGCCGTGGGGGTTTACCGCGTACAGCGCGGGCCCGAGCACGTGGGGCCGGTCCCAGCCCTGCGGCTGCGGCGGCCGCGCCTGGGCCGGCCACCCGCCGGCGGGCTGCACAGGGGGCCGGTCCCTGCATATGAGGACGCCCGCTGCCAGGGTGGTGGTGTCCATGAGCATCCCTTGTGCCTTGGCCTCGATTCGCAGCTCATAAGTGAGCTTGACGAGCTGATTGGAGGGGGGCGGGGTGGTTTGGGGGGGTGTGCTATCGCATGTCACAAAGGTCCGTTGAGGTGCGTTGGGTGGCGACCTGTGGTTGGCGGTTGGGGGGAGAGCTGCCGCATACAGAGGACGCCAGCAGGCGAAAGGGACGGACTCGGAATCTGGGTCGGCAGCCTCGTGCCAATTGCAGAGTGTCGTATATGAGCAGTACGGCAGTACATTGCGGAACCCCCCTGCCCGCAACAAGCGCGCCTGACCGGCCGCCCGCCCGCCAGACGCGCCCGCCGCCCCGCGCGCCCTTCGCTCCTCACCCGCCCCACCGCCGTCGGCGCGGCCCCAGGGTTTAACGGCAACACCGCGCCCCCGAACGCGTGCGACGCGCCCGGCGGCAGCCCGCCGGGCGGCAGCGGCAGCGCGGCCTTTGAGATCGGCTCCGAGGCTGTGAAAGCCAGCTGGCCGCTGGGGGTGAAGAAATGGAGGACCTTTGTGAGGGAGGCCTCAACGCCGCTGAGCGACGCCGAACTGGTCCTGTTGTCAACCTGCGGGGTGGATCGGTGGCCGCCGCTCAGGTGCTGGGCAGCATGCGGACTGACTCGCACTGGCGGGGCGAAGGGCGAGAGCGGCCGGCACGCGGCTGGTCGGTCGAGCGGGCGGCGAGTGCCTGCGGAGAGGCGCGGCGCAGCGGGCCTTGGCCCTGCGCGGCGAGCCCTTAGGGCAGAGGCTGCCTCACCCATGCCGAAAACTGGATCCCCTGGCTGACTCCAAGGTATAGGATATCGGTATCTGCCTCGACCCTCAGAGAAACCACCCCTTTGCTGTTTTTGAAGCAGCAGCACCCCGCGATCAGCTCGAGGTCGCGCGCGGCGCGCAGCGGCCGCGGCGGGCGGGGGGCGCGCTGCAGTACGGTGACGTCAGCGGATGCCTTGAAGTCCATCGCCAGGAAGCCCGCCTGATGGCGATGGGGTCGAGGAC